CACACACTCTAATACACACTCTAATACACACACACACACTAATACACACTCTAATACACACACACACACACTCTAATACACACTAATACATACACACACACACACACACACTCTAATACACACACACTCTCACACACTCTAATACACACACACACACTAATACACACTCTAATACACGCACACACACACTCTAATACACACACACACACACACACTAATACACACTCTAATACACACACACACACTCTAATACACACACACATACACTAATACACACACACACACACTAATACACACTCTCACACACTCTCTCATACACACTCACACATGCTCTAACGCTCTCACACGCTCTCTCACGCACTTTCACACACACTCACCCTCTCACACACGCTCTCACATACTCATACACGATCACACACTCTCTCACATACTCATACACGCTCTCACACACTCTCACACACGCTCTCACACACGCTCACACACGCGCTCACACACGCTCTCACACACGCTCTCACACACGCTCACACACACTCTCACACACACTCTAATACACACTCTAATACACACTCTCACGCTCTCACACGCTCTCTCATACACACTCACAAACTCTCTCATACACACTCACACACACTCTCTCTCACACACTCACACGCGCTTCACACATGCTCTCATGCGCTCTCACACACTGGTCATCTACTGAACACCACTGTTATCAGCTTTATCTGACCTTTGAAAAGATGATTAGACTATTAATTCTATTAGGGAAAGATGCAATGACCAGCAGAGGGCAGCAAGGTCTAATTCTCCCATGATAAAGTGCCATTTTACAATCAAACGTAACAGAAATATGCACAGACTGGATGCAGAAGGCTTCCTGATTGGTCAGTTTGTTGACGTAGATGAAGAAGCTTAGTGTCTTATAAGATTGTTGGACATCACTACATGACGTGAGCAGTTTAATGGTACACAGCTCACACACTGTGATGCTGGAGAAAACCAAAGTGTGGTGGAGCAAATATCAGGCTCCAGGCTCTGTGTGGTAGCGTCTCTGTAACTGTACCGGAGGAAAACACTACATACTAGTGGTGTTTCCACCTTTGTAAAAGAGAGTAAATGAAAAGCTCAGGGTGAGATGGTCCTGTTCACGGTGGAGCTTTTCTGCTGTTACTGAGGAGCTCTTTACTGTTGGTCACAACAATTTATGAGAAGAGGGCTCACTCTGCTAGCCAGGCAGGCGCCACCTAGTTCCTCCGCTAAATTTCATTTCTTTTCAGCAACTAGGTCAGGAATCGAAATAGACAGTTCACAAAAAACCCGAAAGTGCGAGTTCAGGCACCAGCCAATCAGAGAAGAGCCATATATTCTGTGTTGGCAACGATTCCCAAGATCGAGGATTTAAAGCCGGAACAAAGAGAATGTTTGGTGAATTTTATCAAGGGGAAAGACGTTACTGTCCTTCTTCCTACAGGATTTGGGAAAAGCCTAACATACCAGTTAGCCCTGTTAGCGGCACATTACATACGTCACGACCAAATAGCAGCGATTGGTTAAATAAAAAAGTACCCGCCTACCGTCGAGCGAATGAATTCTAACACTGCGAGGTCAGACAGTTTCTACAAAGTGAAACTAGCTGATGAATCAGGCTAACACTCTGCACCAAGACTCTAAAATCTCAGTTTCATCTATGAACCACCATCATTCAGAAATCTTTTGTTTCAGGGGCTAAAATCGTGTAAGGACTTTATAAGATGGCAACAGCAATGATTTAAAAATGAGTGAACCATTTAAAGGATTTTTGGTTTTATCCCAGATTTAGTTGATGAAAATATCCTGCTAATGTAGTCAGCTAAATCCAGTGTTCGTCATGGCACATGTGCAGACGTGCTGTCGGCACTCAATCTGCTTATGCTCTGGTTTGGGCTTCTCGAACTGAAAATTTAATTTGGATCTAGTCTCCACTTATTTATTGTATTCACTTATGTTCACTGTCATTTTTCTATGAAAACATTAGTCCTTTTAGTCGACAAAAAACTTGACTTATACTTGACTTGTAATTATAGTTTCAATGTGTGTCATTTTAGTCATATTTTTCATCTTAAAGCTGAAGTGCCCAGCTCCTAAAAACTACAGGAAAATATCTGAGCCAGTGAAATGAGCACAGTGTGAATGATGAAGGAAAGAATTTCAACTGTAGTAGAGCTCAGAGGTCTGAGTTGTCATTTCATAAGTCGTAGAAGCACATGATCCTGGAGGAGTACCTTGTCCACGTGCAGGTCACTCGTATCCGTCGCGTCCAGATCAGTGACCCCTCTGTCTGGGTTGGACTCCTGCGGCACCGGGACAGGACCGGTCTCCACGGCGTCGATGTCAGTTTCCTCTGTGGGCGGGGCCTCTGTGGAGATAGGCGTGGCCTCGGAGATGGGCGGGGCTTTGCGATCTGGATGGAACAGAGTGCACACACATACAGGATGAGCACGCACACCTACACACAGACACACACACACGTGAAGATGGTCAGTCACACATGGACATACAGGACACACAGGAGACATGTCAGAGAGTGAACTTAAAGCCCTACTGTGGAACATTTCACTAAACACACAAAGATAAAGAGATAACTTAAAGCCCCACTGTGGAATATTTTACAAAAAAAGAGATGGATAAAAAGCTAACTTAATCACAACAGATACCTGAGCCTTCAGAGGAGCAGCGGCTCTACTCCAAGCTGCAAAATGCTGTGTTCCACTTTGTGATGTCATCAAGTGGTAGTTTTCAAATTAACAGCTAACTTTGACCTTTTGTTCAGTAGAAACAGGGTTGAAAACATCCAAATGACTCTAGTGTAGGTGTATAGAGTTTAAAAACACAGTGGAGCAGTTCCTGTATTACCACATGACATCACAAGGTGGAAAAGAGTGTTTTCAGTTTGAGAGAAGAACTTAGTCTAAATATGTTTGTGTGTTTTAACTTCTTGGGTTCTTTTTAAAGACAATGCAGTAAAGTGTATTTACCTTGTTGACATGTTTCAGCTGCTGCATCTTCAGAACTGTCACCGGTGTTGGTGGAGACGTGTCGTGTATCAGCTGTTATTACTTCCTGTAGGCGTGGTCAGCCTGATGGACCTGCAGGTTGCTCAGACTGACCACACCTCCCATCGCCCGATGTTCTGTGGAGGAGGGTGTCTCAGGTGTGTGAAAGGAGGAACACTTGGTTAATGCTGTCCGTGCCTCGTTTTCTGATTTCAATGGCCTCCCTGATCCAGCGTTTGAACTTGTTGTTTTATGATCCAATGACCCGAGCCCCGTCTCAATCCAGAATGTGGTTATTTCTTTACAGTGGTCTGACATGACGGACCCTGCCAGGTCCATCAGGCTGACCACACCTACAGGAAGTAACAACAGCTGATATACGACACGTCACCACCAACACCGGGGACAGTTCTGAAGATGGCTTGCAGCAGCAGCCGAAACATGTCAACAAGGTAAATACACTTTACTGCATTGTCTTAAAAAAGAATCCAAGAAGTTAAAGTATATAAGAAGACAAAATGAACATCATTGGTTTATGTTTGTGTGTGTTGTGTGTTAAACATGCGTGAATGAAACAAAACACAACTGTGTAACTTTTTTGCTGTGAGGAGCTTTGTCTGTCCTTGTTGTGTTACATTATCGTGAAGCGTCTTAGAGTTACTGTGAAAGCCGATGTATTATTATTATTATGAAACTGGATTCACATTCGATTCCCATACACCAAAATGAACCTGTCTTTGGGGAAATTGTGTCTCCTCTACACAGTAAATACCACTCCATATTTTCATAGATTGGTGAGGCCATCTGAGGGAAGTCGATTCTTGTTTGTTTGAGAGTGTGGAGTTGTTGATATAAATTTAATGCGACAAATTGGCGTATTTTCGACGCGGTCTCACTTCTGGCTGCATCTGACTGTGAAAAATGAGCATCTTAAAAATCAATGCATTTTCGACAGGAGCAGAAGGAAGCCATCACAGAGCGTTCTATTGTAGCCGAGGAAAGGGGCTCATTTTCACAAACGCTATGCTAATGGGGCTGTTGTGATAATTTGGGCAAAAAAAATGTCAATTATGCTAATCAAGCTTCAAAACATGGTGTTATGTTTGTGCGTGAAATCAAGGAAAGCAAGTAAGGACATAAACAAGATGGCTGAATTGCTAAAATGACTATAATTTATTATTGATCTGAAGAGGCGCGTGCTTTTATCAGGCTGGTACTTCAAAGCTGCGTTTTACACATTAAATAAGCAGAAATGAGGCAGAATTATGGTAAAAAGCCGCAGAATTTTGAGCACAATCTCTGTCCTGGTTTTCAGCCCCATCTGAAATTCCTCCACCACCTCCTCCTCTGCCTGAACTAACTGGGTTTCAAAGTATCAAGTATACACAAGGAGTAAACTTTTGGATTATGTAAAAAAGTCAAATGTTGAGTGCGCTGGGATCTGTGAAGTTAAAGATCAGATTTGATGCATTATTCAGGCCTTTTAAGCTCCTTCTAGTCACCTTAGCTTTGTTATTTGACCTATTGCACTTGTCCATAATGAGTTGGTATAGAAAACAGAGAAAGCGCTGACTTGGTGTAAACAGGTTTAATCAGACCGGACTGAAGGCCCTAAATAAATGTCCAGAGGAGCCAGGGTATGTCAGAGCCGCTGTGGCTCCTGCTTAGACATGTGGGAGTTAAGTAAAAGTACAGTTAGTGCCTATTTGCCAGTTCAAAAGACTTATTATCATGTTCCTGATCAAGTGACTCTGGGTTAAACCTGCCAGGAGCAGTTGCTTTGGCTCCATCTCCAGGTCTTGAGCTAGTCTTGGTCAGGACTGCCTGTGCATGTTTCCACACAGAAGTGCTCAGACCTTCTTGCTGTGCAGCTTCTCAGTCACAGCTTGTTCACTGGGCTAAATACAAACTGGTCACATTTATGTAGTGCTTTTTCTTTCTCAAAGTGCTTTACATCAAAAAACCCCTCAGCCATCACATACTCTCAAACACCAGTGTACACACACTTGAGGCAAGGGGGGGTTAAGTGTCTTGCCCACAGACACAGCTGAAATAGCCAAACTGTGGGTCAGCGGATCTGATCACTCTAGCAATGATGTTTATGTTGAAAGCGGGATTCAAACCGCCAACCTCTGGAGCAGAGGAGCTCAGCACTCTACCAGCTGAGCTCCTGCAGTCCAGCATGAAGACCCATCAGAAGACTGAAGCGTCAGCCCCAGTCCCGGAAACATGGGTCTGTTCTGATATCAGCAATTTTGAAGAATCAAAAATCACAATCGCAAAATAATGATCAAAACAACATTGTCGAGAATGTGACACCTGCCAACTGATTATTTTTGCCATTATCACTGAATGTGCAATGTGAAAATTACAGGGACTTCAACAGAGAGTGACACAGCTATTTCTGAAGTTAAAGTTGAAATGAAAATGTGTTGCAGAGGCTGATTTCATGTTCCCAAACTAGAGCACACTGTGCCACGGTGATCAGGGCCATTTGAGCTGTGTGTGAGTGAGTGTGTGTGAGTGTGTGTGTGTGTTGGGGGGGGGTCCGTGACGAGCCTGGATGAGACCTCCGTGGGCTCCTGCTCCCTGTGTGTGCCCGGGCACAGCACATGACAAGGAGGAGCCGTGTGCTGGAGATTATAGAGACATTAGACATGCACACAGCAGAGGCACACACAGGGACACATGCTACTACCTACAACTACTACCTACTACTACTACTACTACTACTACCTACTACTGCTTATTACCACTACTACTACTAGCACTAGAGCTGTCAATCAGAGGCGGCAGCACCAGCAGGAGTGGGAAAGAGGGCAGCTCATTGGTCTGTTATTAATGTTCATATCTTGATTTATGGACAAAATGAGATCATGTAGAGTCGCTAAAACGGATCCTGAATGAGGAGCCTGACAGCAGCAGTTACACAGAGAGGGGCCATTTTTCAACAGAAAGTGAACTGGAACCAGAGCTCCGAGGAAACGCTTTCTTTTTTCCCTAAAGATCATATTTGAACGACCTAATACTTTTTTTTTTTTGAGTTTTGGGTGTCCCAGTCTTTTTATGTCTTGCACTAGTACAACATACTTATTTATTCTATTTTTTCTTTAGTACTATGGTGTAGGTGTCCCTCATGCATGTCTGCACTGGAGGGGGAGATGATTTAATCTCGTTCTGCATGGGTATAGTGACAATAAATGGCATTCTATTCTGCTGCTACAACTACCTACAATCACTACCACTTCTAGTACCAGTATTACTACTACTACTACTACTACTATTACTAGTAACACTATTACCACCACCACCAACTACAATATTATTACTACTATTAGTACTTCTAGTTACTTACTTCTAAGCAAACTAATCACAGTACTGTCAAAAGCTTATAGGGAACATGTGGTTTTCTTTCACTCATGTCAAATATCAGAACAATACGCTTCTCCCACAGTCACTTTTTATTACCCAGCATGCCTTGTGCTTCACAGCTGACACAGGCTCAGTGGAGTGTGTGAGCAGAACAGAGAGCAGATGTTGATTTGCTGCTTATTCTGAAGTCAAACGTAAGTCTTCTCTGAGCTCAGATGGTGTAATGGGCAAGGCCCTGAGGACCAGGGTTCAAATCCTGTTCACAACACACTGTTGTCTGTTGCAAGAATTATTACCCAGCATGCCATGTTCTTTACAATTTCCTCAAGTTAAACCTGACGGTGTCAGAGAAACAAACTCAAATCCAACTGCCCAGTTTTCTGTGAAGTATACTGTAGTGGACACACCAGAAGTCTTTAAAAGCTAAGGTCGCTGGTTCTGAATTTTATTATACTATTGTATAATGACAATAAAGGCTTTCTATTCTATTCAAATTCCAAATCTGCCCCTTAGAAATACTAACAGCAGTTATAATCAGAACTAGACCAGGACTTAAACAGGACTAAACCACTATTAATTAGAATTACCCAGGACTGGAGCAGAACTAAACCAGGCCTAAACCAGAATGACAATAGCACCACACTGTCTGTAACTGAACTTCAACTAGAGTGAGTGTAAACCAGAACTAAATCAGGACTAAAACAAGACTAAATCTAGTAGAGGATTATAAGAGGATTATAATAGGCCCAAACAAAGTTTACATCAAGGATCAAAACAGAAATAAACCATGACCAGTTTGAACTCAGCCTACGTGAGCTGAGTGATGAGCCCCTCCTCTCCAAGTTTTACATTCTGCTGGGTTGAGTAAATGCCGTCCCCTCTGTCTCTGTCTCTGTCTCTGTCTCTGGTACATTAGTGTAGAGTAGCACCGCTCTGTACCGTTGGCGGGTATCGTGCTGCCCTCCTCAGAGCCCTCTCCGCTGGGTTGGGTGCTTGGTTGGGTGCTGTTCTGGGTGCTGTGCTGGGTGTGCTGCAGGCTCAATTTGTGACACACCTCAAAGGCCTGGCCCACGGTCCTCACAATGCGCATGGCCTGGCTCTGTCAACACAAACAGAACAAACAAAACAAAAAAACACCTCAGTGTAGCATTTTAAATGGTACAACTTAATATGTTGTATGAATGAGTATAAATAAAAATAGAAAATGAGTATAATAAATGTCTTTTTGAGGGGTGCAAGGACTGGCCCTAAAGGCTTGAGAACTTCACTTATACCATACTGTGGAACAGGAAAAGACAGTGGCTCAGTGGTTAGAGCAGTGGTCCCAGTGTGGAGGATGACAGTGTGGTGTGTGAGTGCTGCTGGTGGGAAGAGGGGGCAGTAAATGACAATAGCAGATCACCACAGAGTGTGCAGAGAACAATCAAAGGCAACAGTGGAGCGTTTTGAGAAGCGTCGACAAGCCTCAAAAGTGTTTTATTATCAGTATTAAAAATAGCATCTCCATGGAAACAAGCAGGTGGTGGACGCAGAAAGTTGCCAAGTGCATATTTAAATACACATAAAGATATTTCCTGTAGAAGTAATATAAGCTTTTATGACACTTTGTGACCAAATTCATTCTTCAAATAAACAATTCTTCATAAAACATTTTGACATAAAGTTCCTTTAAAGTGCCTGTCACTGTGTTAAATTCTTCCACAGGGCTGAATCAACAAAATGCCTTTCTTTTCTCTGCCCCTCAGAAATGTCACCTCTATCAAATCCTGCCCAGCCCGAAGCCCAGGGGCCCCAGGACAAAGGCAGGCGGCTCCCAGAGGCCCTTTTAGAGGAGGGCCACAGTGTCAGGAGGCTTCAGCCCAGAGGGATGAGCAGCTTCTATCAGAGATCAGCTCATGTCTGTGTCCACTCACCTCCACCAAGGACACACAGGGAGGGTGGGGATGTGTCTGCTGTATGCTGCATGGCATTTATTTATAAAGTGCTTTACTGTCTGATAATCAGGAAGTGCACATTCGCATGCCAGTTGTTGTTAGCTTTACCTATACTGATTAGTTTTATTCTTCTCTGAGACAACACAAGTGAGGAATAACTTTGGACCACTGCAAACTCCTGAAAATGAACGAGTTCTGTTTCACATTTTTGAGACAGTACAAACCAGGCACAGGTCAGGGCCAATGTCCAAATGGATTCTGACGTGGTGCTTCTGAGGGTTTGTTTAGGATATTTAGCCTCTGGGACTGAAAATGAGGTGTTGAGTTGTCACTTGTGGCGTAGGCAGTCCCAGCAGGTTCAGTCTTGTGTTACATTTGCATTTTTCTGGGCTCCAGGTGATTTGTATCAGTTCCTCGTGGGAAGAGTTTTCCTTCAGCTCAGGCGTAGTAATGCACAATATGTGTTTTATTTCATGTATTTAATGTTGCAGACTGCACTCCAAGTGTTTCAAAGGAAAGTCAAAGAGAGCACAGCAAATACCACACTTGGAATATTAATGCAAATGTTTCAAAAGTTATTACAAATCTATGAACTTTACAGCACAACTGTGCTAACTGTAGCAGGTCTGTGGCAGGAGGCCCCGGCTGTTGTGAGGGCCCAGGCTGTTGTGTGGGCCCAGGCTGTTGTGAGGGCCCTGCTCTGTAGCAGCCCCCTGTGTTATTTATGAAAGCACCTATTAGAGTCAAACGTGCTCAGAGCATTTATTTAGTCGTGATGAATTACAGTGATGACCAAACACTGACCAAGACGCATTGTAATAAAAGAAGTGGTAAATGCTGGCAGAGCAAATAAAGCTACTTGGTTGAGAGCAGTGAGAGAGCAGCATGCATCAGGTTTAATGTGGAGAGGGCAGAGAGGAGAGTACAGTCTGTGGAGGAGGGAGAGTTTGTAATGCACAACACAGCCCAGGTCTGACAGATCTGAGAGTAATTAAAAACATGTCACCCACACGCTGTACTCTCCCACACTGTGCACTATTTAAAGACGGCGTATTATGCTAAATGGTGTTTTTAGGTGCAATGTTATAATGTTGTTCCTTCATTAACAACATGCCTTATGGTGACGCCATCTCTCACTTTTAGTTTTAGATGAATATCGTCATGTGCACATTTGAACTTGATGACTCACGGGTGTCACAGATTATAACTATACAGCAGACATAAGCACGTTTTTAAAATCTGTTTCTGAAACTTCTAAAATTCTTTTTAGAGTCTAATGTGACAGTCTGTGTGACAGTCTATGTGCACTGAAATGTCTTGCTCACTGACAGCTGCAAGATAAATCAAAATCAAATCAAAGTCAATTGAAAGTGAATCTGAATGGACACAAGCAGCAAATCACAAACAGTGCAATTACCCACAAGGGCCCATGTGACACTACTCTGATCTGTTCTAATAGAGTTTCCTCACCACAAACACACCTGGACACAAACTCTGCATACCCCGAGTTCTGTTCCACCTTGTGATGTCATATGGTGATACAGGAAGTACTCCACTGTATATTATTCTGTATATTCTAGATAAGATCTCTGCCTGCATGTTTTTGTATTAGTTTGTCAGTTCATATTTCAGTCTTTTTATCATTTCTTCTCGACGTCTATGAACATTAAAACATAAATTGTAAATCTAATCTCAGTGCTTCTCAGATAAATGGTAATTATTTTTCCCAAGCGGTTCTCTGTATCGGCCTTGGTGTCTTCTCTCTATCTGTGAGTGAACCTGACTCTTTCCTCTCACATAAAGCACAGTCTGGAGCCTCTGATAACAGCCTGTGTGAAGCGCTTTTGGAGCTGTCTTTATTTCCTCCTCTGCTTTCTTCACCTCGGCTCTTTTCATCTCTCTGAGGAAACATCTAATAGTATTATCAAACCTAAACGTGTCCATAGAGCTGTGTCTGGACCTCCCACCCTCAGGATGCAGGCAGAACACCCAGGAACCAAGCACCTCCCCTGGGGTACGAAAGTGACACGCAGAGGGGTGTTCTGTTGTTTCAGTGTAGGCCTATTTAGTAACACATTTTAAAGGTAAATGTGTGGACATGTACGTGTGGACATGTGTGTGTGGACATATGTGTGATATGTGAACGTGTGTGTGTGATGTGTGGACATGTGTGTGGACATGTGTGTGGACATGTACATGTGGACATGTGTGTGGACAAGTGTGTGTGGACATGTGTGTGTGGACATATGTGTGATATGTGAACGTGTGTGGGTGATGTGTGGACGTGTGTGTGCAGTGTGGACATGAGTGTGTGATCATTAGTGCGTGGTCTTGGCTCGGGGCTGGGGAGATGTGATCAGCTAATGCTCTGGCTCTGGGCACTGGATGGTTTTACAAGCAGCACATTAGCTTTATCATGTACTCTGCAGCTTAAAGTACTTCCACATGTCTAATGATGGCTACTAAGAATGATGGAGTACGAGCCTGCACCAGCGAACACACCAGCACCTGCACCAGCACCAGCACCAGCACCACCGAACACACCAGCACCTGCACCAGCACCAGCACCACCGAACACACCAGCACCTGCACCAGCACCAGCACCTGCACCACCGAACACACCAGCACCAGCACCTGCACCAGCACCTGCACCAGCACCACCGAACACACCAGCACCAGCACCAGCACCTGCACCAGCACCACCGAACACACCAGCACCACCGAACACACCAGCACCAGCACCAGCACCTGCACCAGCACCACACACCAGCACCACCGAACACACCAGCACCAGCACCTGCACCAGCACCTGCACCAGCACCACCGAACACACCAGCACCTGCACCAGCACCAGCACCAGCACCCGAACACACCAGCACCTGCACCAGCACCTGCACCAGCACCTGCACCAGCACCTGCACCAGCACCAGCACCACCGAACACACCAGCACCAGTGCCTGCACCAGCACCAGCGCCTGTACCAGTGCCTGCACCAGTGCCTGCACCACCGAACACACCAGCACCTGTACCAGCACCAGCACCTGTACCAGCACCAGCACCTGTACCAGCACCAGCGCCTGCACCAGCACCTGTACCAGCACCAGCGCCTGCACCAGCACCAGCACCAGCGCCTGCACCAGCACCAGCACCAGCACCAGCACCAGCGCCTGCACCAGTGCCTGCACCAGCGCCTGCGCCTGCACCAGGACCAGCGCCTGCACCAGCACCTCCACACATCCAGTGGTGAGATGCAAGAGATTAAATTTTGATATATTTTGCAAAACAGTCATGTATCCACATTATAATAGTGTTTTCATAATAAACTCACTCAGAGCTGTATTTTGAGTCATCTGAAAATGCCTTGTCACCTACCACCTATCTCCAACCAGTTCTTCCAAATTCCAAAAAACAGGTATATGGGGCATAGTCAGTTTTCTACTTTAAAAACATTTAAGACAAGATTCAACTGTAGCCATTTCAATTCTCAAGTCATTTTAGCTCAATATCACAGTTTACAATGAACTAAATGTAGAATACTAATGTACTAGATGATAACAAAATACCAAATCCAAGTGTATGCGGCTGACATGTTTAAGATGAAGAGGACAATGAAATGCAACTAAAATGGTGTTAAGAGCACTGTCCATGGTTTGACTGTCTTAAAAAAGTGAAAAACAGAAGCAGTTCATTTAAAACTGTTTGCAATGGTCCAAAGTTTTTCCTCACCTAACTTATGCATTTTGAGCATCCAAATGATTCAATACGATGAGTGAGATTTGTTTTAACACAAACAGACCTGAAAGAACTGACATAGCTGGAACTACAACAGGTGAGCTGATTTGTGCTGTTAAATAAGTCTCTCTCAAATAACAGTTACAAGCGAGCTAACATTAGCCAACACTTTCCCAGTTAGTCACTCTGACCCTTTTGTTGAAAATCAAACTCTTAAACTGGATCATGAACGCTCACACTGATCACAGGCTCCTGATGATGTGCTGATTAAATCCATTTTGCATTTTTCAAACAATTTAAAAACGTTTCAAGCCACTGGTCACTGCTAAACATTCCATCATAGACATATATGTATTACCTCCCAGCGTCATGCCACTGCAAAGTACTAGTGCTACAGACACAAGCATTTTTCCAAAGCACTAATCCTGCTCTA